CAAGGCGAGACCAAGGCAGCCGGGAGCATGAAGACTGCCCAGTACAAGGGCGTCTTCGGCACCATAGCCACCATGGTGAAGACAGAGGGTCCCAGGAGCCTGTACAACGGGCTGGTGGCCGGGCTGCAGCGTCAGATGAGCTTCGCCTCTGTCCGCATCGGGCTGTACGACTCGGTCAAGCAGATCTACACCAAGGGCGCAGAGCGTGAGTGCCTCCGTCCCCCCAGCGTGGCCTCTGCCCCCCTCAAGGGGCAGGATCTTGTGCGGGAACCTCTGAGCGACAGGGACGGGGCCTGTTGCTTAAGTGCATGGTTCGCTCTCGACCCCTTCAGACTCAAGACCGCCCCACTTGGAAAATGCTGCTGTTGGCTTTCACTCGCTTTTTGTCTCTGGAAAAGTAATGGATCAGCACTCCTGTTGCAAAGACCTGGGAAAGCTCACAGCAAGGCTGTGTGGAGCGAGTTCGGGCTCACGGCAGCGCATGCTCTACAGCAGGGACGCTCAGCCTGGTGGCCCCGTGGGCCAGATGTGTGGCATGAAGCCCATTGTGGGGGTCGGATCGGGCCCCACGACCTTCCTGCACACTACGATTGATGCCTGGGATTGAGCCCTGGGACCTGGCACTGCTGCCACCCAGCTCTGCACCCTGGGATCAGGTGCTGGATCCAGCACACGGGGCCCCGAGCTCCCCAGGGGTCCCCCAGAGATTTGGCAGTGGGGGAACAGTGTCATCACTCTTCTGCCACCGCATTTCCAGACCCGGCGGGAGCCCTCTGGGCTGCACGACACGGTGCCAGGGGCTGGATCTGGCCCATAGGCCGGGGGCTGAACAGCCCTGCTCTAGTTAAGCGATGAGGTGCAAATCTACTCTGCTTTCAGCACGCTTTTGACGCGCTGCCTTTCCGTTTGCAGTCCCTGGGTTTATGTTGTGCGTCACGTGTAGACGTTTCCACACTAGCATTGTGCAGCACCCTTCAAAGGTCTCGCTGCGCCCGGCTGAGAATCACCAGCTTCAGCAGCCAAGGCTCGTGGCTTGAGATCCAGCAGTCCTGGTTTCAGTCCCTGCAGGTCTGGCCAGGACGGGGCACGCTCACAGTCACCGCAGGGAGGTCCCGATAGCAATATCTGTATCCAAGGAGCACTCAAACGAACCCCTGGTCCAGGCAGCTTGGAGAAGCAAGTCAAGAGGGGGCATTGTGGGCGTCTCTCGTGGTCGTGATGGGCTCCCTGGCTTGACTCCTCGTCTCTCGCCCTCCTTGCAGATGCTGGCATTGGCAGCAGGCTCCTGGCGGGATGCACCACGGGGGCCATGGCCGTGGCCGTGGCCCAGCCGACGGATGTGGTGAAAGTGCGATTCCAGGCCCAGGTCCGCACGGCGGGCGGCAGGCGGTACCAGGGCACCATGGATGCCTACAAGACCATTGCCAGGGAAGAGGGGATCCGAGGGCTGTGGAAAGGTCAGTGCTGGGGCCGAGCCGGGCATGCGGGGCTGGGTCCGGCACGGCCTCCCGCCTCGCTGACCCGTTTCTCTGCCCGCGCAGGGACGTCCCCCAACGTGGCCCGCAACGCCATCGTGAACTGCACCGAGCTGGTGACCTACGACCTGATCAAGGACCTGCTGCTCCGGTCCAACCTCATGACAGGTGGGGCGGGGGCCTGTGGCCAGGCTGTTCGCAGGTGGTTCCCAGCTCGCGGGGATTATCCCAAGGTGCTGGAGCTTCCTTGGGGCAGAGGATGCTCGTGGCCCCTGAGTGCCTGAATCTTTAGGGAGAGGGTGGGAGCTGGCTGCAGGTCAGGCTGGGGATGGGGTGCCAATTCACCTCCTCCTCCTCCTCCCCTGTTAGAAAGTGAGGCAGACTTAGAGGTGCGGGAGGTGAGCTCTGAGCTCGCTAACAGGACGGAGCTGGTATCTGGATCCTGGTTGGTCTCGAGCAGCTTGGCACCTACCTCCCGCTCAGCCTGGGATGGTTTTGGGCCCACTGTAGTGCAGCCCCTGTGCCAAGAGCTCGGGAGCCCGAGTGCCCCCGGGCTCAGCTGGTGTCTCTCCCTGCAGATAACCTCCCGTGCCACTTCACCTCCGCGTTCGGGGCCGGCTTCTGCACCACGCTCATCGCCTCCCCCGTCGACGTCGTGAAGACCCGATACATGAACTCTCCCCCGGGCCAGTACAGCAGCGCCGTGAGCTGTGCCCTCACCATGCTCAGGACGGAGGGGCCGCTGGCCTGTTACAAGGGGTGAGTGGCATCCTGGTGGAGGTGGCGTCTTTGCTGCCCACGGCACCGTGCTGGCATCACACCCAGCTGCCTCGCACTCCCCAGTACCCGGGTGCCCATCACAGCTGGGTTGGTGGGGCAGCCCGTAGCCACAGCTCTGCCCCGTCTATGGGGGCAACCCCAGTCTGGACATAACTCTCGGCCCCCTCTTCACCCGCAGGTTCATGCCCTCCTTCCTGCGCCTGGGCTCCTGGAACGTGGTGATGTTCGTCACCTACGAGCAGCTGAAGCGCGCCATGATGGCTGCCCGTGGCTCCTGGGAAGCCCCGTTTTGACCCGGGCGCAGCTGAGACCTCATCGCAGCCCCCCGCGGCGCTGCGCTCTCCCTGCCTCCCCCGCTGCCTCTGCTCCCCGGCTCCGAGCTCGTTGCGGCGCCTCTTCTACACCAAGCCTGACGACTCTGCCCTGCCAACAGGAGAAGGCTGGAGCGGGGCCTCTCGTCTGGTGTGGAAGAGAAGAGCATCCTTGCCCTGGTGGGCTTGGGCGGGAGGTTTCCTTTACGGCGTTCCTGCAGCCGGCGCATCCCACGGGGCATCGAGTGCTGATCTTGGCTGGGCCGAGCCCGGAGATGTAGCGCGAGCAAATGGGACTCAGCTTCCCATTTCAAAGGCCGATGCCTGCTTTGGTAACAGTCCAGGGGGGAGCCCCTTCCCTGCCAGGTCTGTCGTGCCAATTGCTAAGTACCGTGCCAGCTTCTCCAGACCTGAGCGCCCAGCCTCTAAGCCCCTGAATCCCCCGTGCGGTGAGGAGAGGCATGCCTGGTTTGATTCAAGGCTGCAGATCTCCCTGGAGCTCTCATCAGGCTTCAAGCAAGCGGCTTGTGGGGTCTGGAAGCCAGAAATGAGTCCCCCAAGTCCACCCTGAAGTCTCTGTGTGCCCAGCAGGGCAAGAGGCTGCGGTGGGGCTCTGCAGAGCAGCCCGAGATGGGGCGAGTCGGATGCTGTGGATGGGAAACGGCAGTGGTGGGGAGGGGCGGAGGGATCACCAAGGATTGGAAAGTACAAGCAAGTGTCTGGCAGACCAGCCAAGCCTCCGTTTCCTTGCGCGCTTCTGGGCAGCAAGGGTGCGGAGACGGCACCTGCCTTGCGTTGTGCGTCTTAAAATAAAGTCGAAGGTTAGGAAGCGAGGTCGCGTCCCTCTGCAGAGGGACATGCTCGGTCCCTTGCTCGGTCTTTGCATCTGGCCAGACTCGTGATTCACGGGCCCGGCTTGAGGCGCCTGATTTCAAGTGGGGAGCCCTTCGGGGGGAGGGAGATGGCCAGTGGTCGGGTGGTGACCCATGGCACGCAGTGGCCGCTGTGACTAGCTCCAACAACCAGGCTGGGGCTTCGTCGGCTACGGGGCAGGGAGGAGGATTTCCCCCAGTGCTGCTGTCCCTGACACTGGAGCGGCTGCCTGTTCCAGCTGCCGCGGCTCATGAGGATGGTGGGGGCTTGCTAGCGGCATGCCCCAGGGACGGGCTCCCATGCTCGGACTGGTCTTGAGTGGCCTGGAGCTGGTGAACACCATCGCGGAGCAGGGCTGGGCCCAATGCACCTAGGAGCACGGTCTGGTGGGCAAAGCCTGCTCCGCGGCTCACTTGATGGTGAAGGCCTGCAGTCACCTGGAAGCCGCTAGGGAGGGGGAAGCCCTGTCCGTCCTGCTGCGTGGGGCAGCATGTCTCTCCCAGAAATCCCAGTTTGGACCCCGCAGGGCTCGTCCCATCACATTCCTGTTCAGCAGTCCCTGGTGCTCCACACCCTTACGTGGGGGGATGCTCTCCAGGGGCTTTGCTCAGCTGGGGCTTCTGGCTTTGACCCCTAAAAGCTGGGCGAAGAGGCTTGCAGCCTGTTTTAATCTCAAGGGGAAACGGGAGCTAAACTTCCACCCCTTTCTTTGGCGTCTCGGGGCGTTTGTGTCGATGACGGTGGGAGGTTGCGCCGTTGTGGTAGGAGTTGGGTGCCTGCCAGCACCGGGGGGACCGCATCCTGCTCCGTGGGCTGTTCTCCTTTGCAGGTGGGGGAAACTGAGGCAGGGCATGGAAGTGATTCCCTCAATCCACCCTCCTCCCCCTGCAAGGCAAACTGGATGTTTAGAGGAGCGATCACGTGGAGTTCCCCCTGCACCAGCTCTCGGACCCTGTGTGAAGGTGACCCGGTCGGAGCCGCGTGGCCTGGTCCTATGCAGCCGGCACCAGGAGCTGTACAAATAGCTAAAATTTTTGTATTCATGTTATAATATACTTCGTGGACCAGGTCAAATTAGCCAAATTAGTTCCAAATCATATGGATGGAGCAGATCTTAGTTGGCCCAAAAAACATGTTGATTAAGCAGGATGTACAGCGCTACAACCGGCGAGCATCCTCCATCCCAGACGTATCACCCGAGGACTTCAGATACTCCCAAATCCATCGGCAGGCATCCTACATGCAAGCCCAAGTCCAGAGGTCTTGGGATTCGGATGTCCCCTATGCTTGACCTGAGCCAAAAGGCCGAAAAGCTGTACAAGTAGCCAGAAGGCTTTATTCCTCTGGGGAGCGGGGATGGAGACAGACATGAGGCTCCGTCTCAGCTCAGGAGTGCCTGCCGCAGGAGCTGCTTCTTGGCCGGGGTGAGATGCCGGGGGAAGCAGATGTCGAAGCACATGACGAGGTCCCCTTTGCAGGTGGGGTCATGGGGCAGGGGCATCCCTTCGCCCGGCACGATCTTGAAGTACTTGGGGCTGCAAAGCGAACGGCAGCATTAGCCAGGGAGATGCCTTCTTACCCCTCCGGCCAAGCTGAGGACGTGGCCCTGCTGCTGGGGGCCGGGGCAGGGAAATCTGGGAGGGACGCGCTGTGCTTCCAGGTGGACGTTGTGCACGGCCCAGGAGCCTGCTGGGCACAAGGCAGCACCAGGCTGGAAACGCAGGTAGCGATTTAACAGGCTGACGCAGCCGGTTGTGTTAGCCCTCGGCGACGCCTGCCTGGATGGCAAAGGGGGCCTTTCCCGCTGCCCCCACCCAGCTCCATGGGGCAGGCTGGGCTCAGCCTGGCTCGGGCACTGCTGGAGGTAACAGCAGCCTGCACCGCTCCCGTCTGCCTGGCACTGCGGGCGAAGGAGCTGGCTCCAATGCGGTACAAGCCTCCAAGGGCAGACGTTAGCCTTGCCGCGAGACCAGAACGAACAGGCTGATCCGCGAGCTGTGCCGGGCGGGCGGGAGCAAAAAGCATTTGGCACTGACTGTCCACCCAGCAGGCCTCGATGTCCGAAAGCAGCTAGAAATATTGATCCCCTAAGATGCCTCGAAGAGGCCCAAGTCCCCTGAAGAGCTGAGACTGGCCCGCGGAGAAGTACCAAAGCCTTGGGTCCTCTTCGGTGGCTACTGAGAAGCCTGCCCTTGTGCTTCCCAGTGCATCTCCCTTTCCCAAGGGCTGGCTGGCAGGGCCCAGCCTGAGCACCTGGGCAAGCCCGGTCCTTGCCCCAGGGGTCATGCCAGGGGCTGTGGCACTTACTGGACAATGTCGTTGATGGGAATGTTCAGCAGCCGTTCGTCCAGCGTCTTCACGCTCACTGTGCAGCCGATCAGGGCCTGCAAACAAGGCCACCAGGCTGTGAGGGCAGGTTGCACCCACCAGGTGCAGACCCTAATGGTCTCCAGCTCTTAGAGCCGCCTCGAGGCTGCTCTGTTTGGTGTTGGGGGGTCCCTTTATGGGGGAGTGGTGACACGAGAACAGCTGAGGGGGCATGCAAACAGCTGGACGGCACAGCATCGGATGTCTTTAGGCAGGAGAGGGGGGGGAAAAATCCAACCCCACATGCCGCGTCACCCGGCCCTGGTGTTCCCACCCCGGTGCCAGCATAATGCAGCCCATCCAGGGCAGTTTGTTCATAAAGGACGGCTGGGGCAGGAGCAAAGTGACCCAGGTCCCGCAGAGGCCAGCGGGCAGCTCCTGGCAGGAGCGGAGCGGGCCCCGTCACACGCCTACCTGCCCGAGGGGGATGCTGGCAACGTAGAGCAGGTTGTCGTCCTCCCTCCTAAACCGGGGGTGCAGCTTCTCGCGGACAATGAAGATAATGTCTGCCGGGATGATGTTCGGGCCCTACAAGAGGGAAAAACAGGAGCTCAGTCCATCTCTACCGCAGACCTGGACTGTCTGCAGGGGAAGCGAACAGACTTGCTGCCTCCTGCTGGTAAAGACGGTCTGCAACGGGTCTGGGTTTCTGTTTATAGGCACCTTCCTCTTCGTTACTTGTATAGGAGGTCTCGTGTCCCCCGTGTTTTACTGAGGATGCTGGAGGTCTGGAGCACTGAGGAGGAGCTGAGATGGCAAGTGCCAATGCTGTGAATCCGTCTCCAAATGCTTTCTGAGCTCAGAGGCTCGAGAAACTTGCCTGCTACAGCGGGGGAGACCAGAACTGACACTCCTGCTATGGGACAGATGGGGAAAAACCCTTCCAGAGCATTTCTATACGTCCCAGAGAGACGAGAAAGCAAGTCACCCTCTCTGGCTGGGCTCTTTAACACCCTTCTTGATATAAGGAGGTTGGGTGTTTTACTTCCGTGCTAACCACAGTCTTAGGTGAGCATCACAAGCGCATGAAAAGCCTTCTTGTAAGGTCCCTTTCAGCCCCTAACATCTATGAATCTATGAATCTGAACCATTGGAAACACCTTCTCGGATGTGCAGTGTGCCCCTGGCACTGCCTCGTGCCCATGACATCAACGTGCAATCTGAATCCTGTTCCTTTAGCCTCCGGGGAAGGACAGTGATGAGAGTAAACTGAGGCAGGGAAGTCACACAACTGGCCCAAGGCCACACTGGAAGAGTCTCTATCAGAGCTACAGGGACCCAAGGGCTCCCATGTCCCCCACTCTGCCCCCACATAAGCTCCTAAATCCCTTAGGCAGGTGAGAAATTCTGTTAGCCTCCCTGTGCCTTGGCTTAAACGGGGCATCAGACCTCTCAGGCCCGGTGCAAGGCTGGTGCATTCACTAACTGATGTTTGCTGAGCACCTGGAGGCTTTCAGAGGGAAGGTGCCACCTACTTTCCCCTCTATTCAGCACTGGGGAGCCTCTCCCGGTGTCCTGTTTTGGGCCCCGCACTTCAAGAAGGACATGGGCACATTGGAAAGAGTCCAGCAAAGAGCGACAGAAATGATCAGGGGCCTGGGAGACAACTTCTGAGGACAGGCTGAAAGAACTCGGGTTATTTAGTTTGGAGACCAGAAGACCGAGGGGGATTTGAGAAGTCTTCAAATACCCGAAGGGTGATTGCAGAGAGGATGGAGATGGGCTTCTCTCTGTGCCTGCAGGGGACAGGACTGGGAGCAATGGCCTCAAGCTGCAGCAGAGGACATTTAGGCTGGAGATGAGGGGGATCTCTCCGACTGGATCAAGCGGCCTCGAGAAGCTGTGAAATCTCCCTCCTTGGAAACTTTCAGGAGCGGGTTAGACAGACTTGTGGCTGGGACAGTTTGGTCAGGGATGACCCTGCCTCGAGGCTGGTTTCGCAGGCTCATGTGTCCACCCGCTTCCAGTTTAAACCATCCCGAGTGTTACGGGGGTCCCTGCCCTTACCTGGTCTCCTTCCTTCTCGAAGGTGATCCTGGTGCCCGCCTTCCAGCCCGGATGCACGTCGATGGTCAGGATCTTGTCCTTGATGGTGGATGTGTAACCGTCCTCGTTCATCACCTGGGCAGCAAACGCGGCTGGTGAGAGGAGGTGGCTCAAATCTAGACTGGGCCTTTGCGGAGGACATACAGGCAACAGCACCAGCCGCAGGGGCACCACGGACTGGGAGGGCTCGGCTTGCAGCGCCGAGGGCCTGAGCGCATGGAGATGGTGGTTGCGTGCCTGAAGCGCTGGCCTTGAGGTGCTAGATGCAGTCGGTACATGGGATAGCAGGCAGCCCCCGGCCCACATGGGGAGCACATGGGGGGAATACGCTGCTCATCCAGCCACCGATGCATAGCCTGCAAAAGCCCAGTGCAGCCCACAAGCCCCGTGCCCAGGCCCCCCTGCAGCCCGGCCTCACCCTGCGGGAAATCTTAATTTTCTTGGTGCAGCCGTAGAAGAGGTCCTCCAGCGACAGGTAGAGGTCCCGCTCGATCGGGGGGTCCTGCTTGGCCACGCCGCGGCCTCGCAGCCCGCCGAAGGCCACCATCGCATCCAAGCCATCTTCAGCGAAGAACTCTGCAAGCAGCGGCCAGAAATGGGAGAGATACGAGGGTGGAGAGGGGCACGGGCGAGCGGCTTGACTGCCGGGCAGCCTGCAGCCCTCATCACAGTGCGGGCACCAGCCCCTCTCATTTCTGCGGCGAGTCGCCTCAGGTCAGAGCATCTCAGGGGTTAGGCCCAGCCTGAATCACCTGGGCCTGGCAAGTTCACATCGGGCTCCTTTGAGCCTCAGTTACCCCAGCTGTAAAATGAGTCGCCAACCTCCCTGTCAGGAAGGATCTTGAGCTAAGGCACCAGTTGACCCACATCCAAGGCTCCTCTAAGGCTAGGAGTTGGCTCTGGCTCCACGGAAGTAGAGGACAGCTTCTCGAACGCTAGCAGCCGACCCTGGTATGGCGATATCATCCAAGGGGAAGCCACTGCCAGCTCGGCCGGTCCTGGCTTCATGGTGTTATCTGAGCATCGCGAGGGGACAGGGAACATCCCTGGCTGTCCTGTCCCCTGGGCACGGTGACGAGCCTTGTCTGCAGTCTCCTATTGAGAGCACACGAGGGGCAGGGACGAGGGGCCAGGAGGACCTCGACCGGCAGGAAGGGCTGGCGGGGTGCTGGGGATAGGGGCCCGAGGCCACCGGCTCCTAGTAGCCGGGTTGACAAGCCATAAAAAACCCATTAACCCACTGCCTGCCAGCACAGGGCCAGAGACCCCGCCTCAGCCCACCCCCCCAAAAAATAACGACAGAAGCCCCCTACCAGCGAAGGGGTTGTCTCCTCCAAAGAACTCCTTGAAGACCTTCTCGGGGTTGCCATGAAACACGTAGCCCACGGTCCAGGGGTTCTCCGTCCCAAACTCCAGAGGGATGCCGCCTTTGAGACCCTCCTCTCCAAACTTGTCGTACACACCCTTCTTCACCGCTACAGGACAAGGAGGCATCAGGAGGTGACCGCAAGTTTGCTCACGGGAATGAAGGTCTTACCTCCGTCCCCGGGGCCTTCTGCCACAGCCACTGCTAAGCAGCCTCCTTGCCTTAAGAAAGGTTGAAGCAGCAAAGAGGACGCTACTGCTGCGCTGCGGTGGCAGCTTTCTGCAGGGATTTTGTCCCTAGAAGCAACCCACGTCTCAGCCTCAGAGCTGGGGAAAGGGAGACGGGGTGCAGGACACACTGATCAGGTAGTAAACTGGATTTATTACATAGGAAATGAGGAGTTGCCGCCTCCTGCAGAGCCCTGACGGGGTAAACCACTCAAACGCTGGGTAAAGTTGGACTTCCACCCACTGGATCTCTCTAGCAGCCCTGGTTGGCAGATATTTCTGCCCCGCTGGCAGCTCGCACAGGCAGTGATCAAGGCACCTTTTAGCCTATGCCTTTGATGAACTCACTAGATCAACGGGTTTCTTCTCTCTCCGTGGGAGATGCTCTCCAGCCCTCAGCTCCTTCCCGTTGCTCCTTCTGCCCCTTCTCCAAGTCCTTGGCACCCAGGTGTGAAGCGTGGACGCCAGAACCCAACCCCACATCCAACAACGTGCCCTCTGCAGGATCCGATGCCGCCTCCCAGCCCCTCCATCACTTTCCCCTGCTTGTACATCCCAGGGTCAGGCTACAGCACGGCACAGCACTGTAGATCCGCTCGTGCCACATCCCGGCACAGTCAGGATGATCCCCGGTATCAATCAGAGCGTGCACGCACCCGAGCAGCTGACAGCGCCAGCCCCGGGCAAATCACCGTGGCAGCAAACGAGGAGATACGTGGCTCGTGACCACTCCTGCAACGAGGATGCTCCACGCCAGCACTTCTCCCCGCTGATCTCTGCGGGGGGAGGACCAGGCTCCTACTTACGGTCGCTCAGCACGTCGTAGGCCTCTGCGATCTGCCTGAACTTCTCCTTGGCCCACGGCTCTTTGCTTTTCAGAGGGTGGTTCTTCAAGGCCAGCTTGCGGTAGCTGCAAGGCAGAAGGGGGCAGAGTCTGGCCCGGCCTCGCAGCCCAGCACTGCTTAGCAGGGCACGCTCCCAAGTCGGAAGGTCTGGGTAGGTGGAGGGTTCCCAGGTCCGGTCCCTGCACCTCCAAAAGGATAGAGAAGAGCTGGAGAAGGGCAGCAAGGGTGATGAGCGGCGTGGAGGAGACGAGGCCAGGCCTGGTCAGCTGAGAAAGGAGGTGCTCGGTGGGGGAGACACACGCACGCACGCACACACGCACGCACGAGAAGGGTTCGCACAACACTAAAGGGTGACGAGAAAGCCGAGGGGGACTTGTTATTGGAAAGAGCAGACAGGAAAGCAGGGCTGGACGGGATGCCGGGGGGTAGGGCTGGTGCCCCCAGGCCAGGTGTTCAGCCTCCCCAGCTGGGCAGCGTGGCAGACAATCCAGATGTGCTTCCCCTAAGCTGTACCCCCGCCCAGGCAGAGGATCCAGATGTTCAATCTATCCCCCCTCCCCCCAGCTGTGCCCCCCCTGGGCAGACGATCCAGATGTGCCCCCCCACCCCGCGCTCACGCCTTCTTGATGTCCGCGTCCTTGGCGCTGCGGGGCAGCTCCAGCGCCCCGTAGTAATCCTGCCCCATCCCGGCCCGTCTCCCGTTGCTATGGACGCCGCCGCCGCGGGGGGTTGTGGGACATGTAGTTCTTCCCCCCACTTCCGGCCTCTCCTGCTCCAGCCTCCCCCCCCAACGTGGGAGGCTCTAACCACTAGGCAGCCCCACCCCGGAGACCTGTCCAGGCTCCTCTCTCCACCCGCTCCCGGGGCCCGGGACCCCCACCCCGCTCTGGGGCTGGTGGCATGCGCCCGCCTGGGCCTGGGGGTGCCTGTGGGGGTGCAGGAGAGGGTGCCCCATCTCCTCCCGTGCTCTGGGGGCCTCCTGGGGCCGGCCCAGCTGCTTCGGGGGCAGGAAGAGGAAGGCCTGAGGGTGGCACCGGCTGCCGAGGGGGCAAGGACGCGAAGGCCCGAAAGGAGCAGGGTGGACGGGGCCGCCGGGGTCACGTCCAGTCGGCCCTGCCCAAACCGGCCCGCACAAGACCACGGTCCGGCCTCGAAGCAAAATGGGTGTCAACCCTCGCACGAGACGTCGCACCCGAACCTGCCCCAGGGAAAGCAGGGGGGGCCCGGCGGCCAGCGCCCTGCTGCTGTAAGGGTTGTTCATACCCGCTCGGGCAGAGGACGTGCCCCCGCTAGAGTCCGTACCAGTCTGAGCGTGGGGGGAAATCCCTTCCTGACCCCAAATGTGGCATCAGTCTGACCCCAAGTGGACGAGCAAGACCCACTAGCCAGGACCACCTAGGCTTGAGTCCCAGCAGGAGCATCCCCAGCCTTGGCTACAGCCAAAACCCAGTGCCTCTGAGGGAAGCTTAAAAGCCCCCTGACATGTAGCGAAAGGGGGAGAGGGGACAAAGGGCAAAGCCCAGAAGCCTGGGAAGTCCCCATAACCACCGGCATCCCTGCACCTACATCACCCCCCGCCAGTGGCTGTCCAAGCTCTTCTTGAAACCCCCGTGATGGAAAGTCCACAACTCCCCTGGCGTCTTCTTTACAGCAGCCCTTCAAGCATTCAAAGACCACTACCACGTCCCCTCTTACTGCCAGCACGTCCCCTTACTAAGCAATGAAGTTTGTTCAAGGGCACAGGGAGTCGGCGGCGGAGTTGAATTAAAACGGCAGAGGAGCGGAGACGGCCCATCATTCATTCTTCAATCCCCTGTGCTAAGAAATGAGTTTCCACACGTGCAGGAGGGCGGTAGCCAAGCCGGAGCTCACAGGACTAAATATTTTCCCCTGATGTTTCAAGGAGTGGCAGGGTTTGTCGTTACCAGGATTTGGAACCCGGTGGCAAAACCAACCTGTTTGGGGGCCATATGCCAGGAGCTGTATTTAATAAAATCCAGCAATGGCATTTGAATGTGTCCTTCGCTGCAACAGCTATACTCCACGTGGAAATTTTTTAACTATGGGAACACATGTAATTAGCTCCAGCGATCAAATTGAAATCTCGCATCAAATTTGAGATCCAAATCACAGCTGCTGATCCACAAGGGAAACGTCCACCTGAGCATAAGAGCCCATCCATCGGGTTACTGCACTTGAGGCACGAGTTCCCGTAACGTTACTGAAGGGTGCGGTGAGCCTCTGACTTCCAAGTGGGAAGGGCTGGGGGCCATGAGTGGATCCAGGAATTTGGAAAAGGGGGGGGGGTGCAGGACATGCCAGCAGTGCCCCCCTCCCCACCCCTGCATGGGCAGAGCAGGCCAGGGCAGCAGCACCAGCCAGGTGCTTTTTGGAGACCCTGGAGCAGGTAGTCTCTCCATACAGCGTGACTCCAGCGCACTGTCCACCGGGGGTTGCCTGCTCACTGCCCCCACTATCTGGCTGAGCCAGGAGCAGAGGATCCCCAGGACTGCTCCTATCCTGCTCCAGCCAGGAGCGTGGGGAAGCAGCAGCTTGCAGTGGCCATCTTGGCTGGGGGCAGTCCTGCCTTCTAGTGCTCATTCCCAGAATGTGAGGGATGCCGAGGTGGCGGGGAGCAGCAGCGGCTGGAAACCTGCTGCCACCACAGTTTCTAGCCGATTCTGAGGCAGGGGAAGCCATTGGACCACTTGTGTCCTGATGCACCCAGGGCCTGTGGGGAGCAGCTGCACTGGGTGCCAGGTCCCTGCTTGCCTGAGGGAGCCAGCTAAGGAAGCTCAGTGGGAGATCTCCCTACTTTCAGGCACTCCTGCTCCCTGCCCACCGCCTGGCTTTCCCTTCAGCTGTAGCCCTTAGGCCAGCAAGGGAGAGGTGATGGAGAGGGA